CAAATTAATTTTATTTTCAAATACAAAATGTATCTAGTTTCATTTAATATTTTTGTGAAGCTTAATTTAACTTAAATAATGTAAAACTAAGAACGCTTTGAAAGCGTAACGTATACAATTTGTTTTCTACGAAGCCATTGAAGTATAACGAAGAACTGCTCGCGCGTGCAAAGTTTAAGTTTCGCGAACTTGATAGTTTGATCGTCAACGCGTGCATAATCGATCACACGAACCATATGGTTCACGTGCCCCCAGCATGGAAGTAATGGGTCATGGTTACGTAAAGAAGACCTTAAACGGCGATCACGCTCTGTTCTTATGTTTCGAAAGTTGATATACAGCGCAGATGTTCCGGAAAATATCCGATCTCATTAAATAGAAACAATTTCAGATAGCGTTTGATCAATACAGAAACTTAATTTAACATAAAGTGAGTTGTCGAAAATTTTCTTCTTAAATATGTTTCTCAGGCAATTAAGAATAATTATTTAGGATTAAATTAACAAATTATTTAATAAAATAAATTCATAAAAAATTTAATTAAGACGATAAGTCAACTTATAAAGGTTCCAATAAATGTAATTTTTTTATACGTTGCAAATGAAACAAGGCTCGTCGAATAAAATTTGTATAATCAATCAGCGTATAAGCATTTGATAAAATTTACTATCCTCTTCGTTTTACTATGAAGGTCAATTGATACGTTATCATGGTCATTGTCATTTCTCTGAATATGATAAGTCGAATCAATTTTACCAAGAGAAAGATAAAACATTATCATGGAGAAAACAGACAAAATATACAATCATTTTGATAATTATAAATTAGGCAAAATAATTAAGTAATATAATAAATTGCAATTGCTGAAAGATAATAATAATTGTAAGATAACATTATAAAAAATACGCTCTTTACCAATAAATTAAAATCTTAAAGTTCAGACTATCTTGAAATTTTAATTTTTTGTACTTTCAAGGTTTTCTTTTCTTATGTAAAGATTAGTTATTTAATAATACGTTTAATTAACATCATAACTAATGTGCGATTGTGGGAAGCCCTATTGAAGGGCAGGAAATGTGTGTCTTCTCTTTCTCTGCAGTCTTCCCAACCCCTTCGATTTCGATTTTGTCGCGATGGACTCTTAATCCGGAAGTCGGTTTTTGAAAGGAAATTACCTTCAAAGGATTCTGTCGGCCGATCATTTCCTGCAAACGCATTAACAGAAATTTTAATGTTTATAAAATACCTAATAAGCGTCGGCTGCTGCTTGTCTCGGAATTAAAAAGCCGCGGATGCATTTTCATTGAGTGGTAGAAAGTATCAGAAAGTGGTGAATGACGTCATATGTATGGGATTATGAAACATATAATGAAACATAAATTGCTCGGCAATACGTAATAAAGTAGCGATTTCGCGAATGAATGCACAGAAAAAAACGATTGTTGAAGTATTAACAAATTAGATATAGATCTAAAAGTAATTTTGTTAAGTAATCAAGATAATTAAAAAACTTAAAATAATATAGAAAATTCAAGCTTAATGAATGCTGCAGAAAAGTTCGATATTCAATAAATTTAAGCATCCTACATAATTATTTTAATAGTTTAACAAAATTATTTTCTGTATATGTAGATACATTAAAAATATAATTACATTAATTAAATTGAAACATATCTCATTTTTCGTCAATCTCATCTATTCTGATTCACCGATATTATTAGTCGCCGCGCCAAGTTACGAATAAAGAGTTAATTTTTAGTAATAGACACTCGTTTCACACCCGTTTCTTAAAGTTCGTTGCAAGCCCACTCGTTGGCATACTTTCTGGTGTTATTTACGGATATTACAATTACCTCGTAAACTTTTTACGCTTCGACGTGTTACGGACGATCGCCGTCGCGTCGCAACCGTTTCTCACGGAGGGAAAAAATGTTCTTCTGCGATGACGGTTGCTTCACGCAACATAAATTTTATGCGTGGAACCGTAGACTTTCCGTTCGCGTAGGTCCGTCTTTGCAGGTGTTCCTCGCGAAATTTTCGCACAATATGCATGCTGCGTATCGGCTCTCAGACCGTATACATTAATCTGCGACGCGCCAACGCGATCACGGAAGGGTGGCGAAATTGAATTAACGTGCGAGTTAATACCCACGAAATTATGCTGCGTCGAATAAAAATTGATCGAATAAAAATCCGCGATGCGTGTCGAATTAGCACGCACTCTGACGCGTTGTGTGTGAGACAATAATTTCTTAAACGACCGAAGAAAGCGCATTGTAATGAATTACTATCTTTTTTGACATATTTGAAAATAATTAATATTTAAGTGCATTTTTCTGTATTGTGAATATCCGGATACTTGAATGCGAAAGTATACTAACGAAATCGTGTAATAATCATATTTATTCACAAAAGATTATAGCTCTTCCAAAGATTATAGTTTCCTTCAATATCGATTTCTTTCTCGTAAAAGCATTTATTCATTAATGGCGCCAATTTCTAAAAATGTCGATCGAATTAGGACGAGGAAACATAAAAGTGGAATTTATGTAAATTCTTTCTTTGTCCAGTTGTCTCGTCTCGCAGTCACACGCTCCACGTAAAACTGCCACGAAGCGGAGCAAATCGACATGCATTTATTTATCGTTGGGGGTGCCTCTATGGGAAACTCTCTCTCTCTCTCTCGAGGGGATGAAAATGTCAATACAAATTTTGATGAGAATTTCTTTGTTCTACTCATATTTACATAAATTATGCTAAACACTTTGGCTCAATTATAAAATACCATACATGATGAAAATAAATTAATATATGATCGTTAGATTTCTAAGATTATTTTGAATTGTACAAAAGATTATAATAATGACTTTAAATAAGTGTTACAATCGGCATTATTCGCAAAATATTCGTGAAGCAATCGAAATAATCAATTGTTTGTATTGTTGGTGCACCTTTCGCCGCGTATTGTGGATAACCACTCGCTGTAAAGATTCAAAGAGATCCAAGAAAGGGGTTGGCACAAACAACCCTTCGACGCGGCAGATGGTCGATTGAACAAAATCGATCTCCAACTTGATCTATCGAAATCTCAACGTTGTGTCACCGCGGGGGCGCCTGGCCGCCTCTTATTTTCAATTTCCACATGACGATCGACTGATATAAACGTCGAAGGGTTTCGTAGCACAGCAGATGTTTTCGTCTAACGCGTCTACGATTCTCCGCTTCGATGTTTACATCATCTCGGTGTATATTTTCGATAAATTAGACGGCTTGAATAGGTCCTTAAAAAAGCTTAATCACGATAACGCGGCTGAGTGCAGTTTTCTCTAACTAGAGAAAAAAGAGAATTGCCCAATGATTTCGTTAGGCAAAGATCGCTTGATAAAGACCGAAGGGTTTCGTGACCGAGCAGATGCTTCGAAACTCAAAACGTCGTATACCGTTTTTTTGGAATTTTTTTAACGTTAAGCTGCTCGTTTATCCGTAGATGTCAACATCTAAATTTACGAAAAGGAAAGATCGTTATAAAAAATATATTTCTCAACGAACGAAAAACACAACACAGCAAGATCGAATGCAATGTAGTTTCAGCAATGTAGGAAATTGATGGACGAAATATCCAGGCGAATCGCGAATTAGACAGCTGAATGAATAATGGCATTTCATTAGTGAGCGGGATCAATGATTGGTACGCTTAATGCGTAATTAATGACCACCGGATGTGTCGCATGACTACGTTGAGCGCGATTTTTCGTCATGACAATACTCGCTGCCTTTTTCCACCATCACGTGCTGCATGTTGAGATAATTGAAACCGCAACCACTCGCAAGCCGACGAAATTAGAAAAAGGGTGGCTCGCACAAGAGGGTAAAAGGAGACTAGGTTTGTTTCGCTGACCTCGATTGTAGCGTAGCATGAGTCGCCAACAAAGAAGATAATAATACGGCGGAAACGAAAAGCCAGACAATAATGTGCGGTGGTGTAAGCAATATACAGCGGAAAGGGGTGTATTCGTGCGTGATTTGTTAATTGTTATTACAGTGCGTTTGCCACATTTATTAAAGTGAATAATGTATTCGGTAAAATTATGCACTGTAATAATATATAATGTTATTGAAAATACAACATCTATTTTTTAATATTGATTGCAGTTTTTAATATGATACTGCAGTTAAACGAGAAGCTTATTTCCGAATTAATTTGAATTTAAGATCAAGATTATACTTTATAGACCCAGAATCCAGAAATTTGAAGAAAATTAATGAAGAGCAGAAATTTTTATAAATTATTATCGGGAGCTTAATTACGATACTTACAGAGTATGACGTTTCATATATCGATTGGTTCTGAGAAAAGGGTTAGAGATATCTTTATCGGACCGTCTGGCCAAAAACGAAATGATAAGCCCAATCGAAATTCCAGTATTGTCGGGGGTAGGGATATTTTATTATCTATATTAACCCTTGTCGCACGAGCGATAATTTTATTCTTTTAGAAAACAAGTGGACTGATATTCTCTTTTGTGACAGTTGCGTCTTTTGTGTATTTATTTCGAAATTTTATTTTAATTTTTACCAGCGTTGAAACTCTAACTCTATACCTGTACAAAGTTAAAAAAAAACGCGCGTGCACGCAAATTTGTAAGCAAAATAATGAAGTGTAATTAATAATGTTAAATTTTTTCGCAACCCAAAAATCGGCTTGCAACGCATACTTTGGGAATCCCTTAGACATTTCATTTCAGCAAATTTCGATAAAATATGTTTTAAATAGTTTTTAAGAAAGTCTTTTCGTATTTTATTTCTCATCAAATGCTGTTATCGTAATTAATAATATAATAGTGCGTGTATGCTGATGAATTCTTAACTCGAAAAGCATTGAAAATAAAAGAAAACATGAAAAAATCATCTAAGGCAATAATGATCGGGATAGTGATCTGGTTAGTCGCAATTGAAATTGTATTGATCTACAGTTAGGTAACTCCATTTTTTACCATAATTCGTATTCACTTCAAAATTTCCTTAACTGTATTAACGAGTCCAGTATACTGACAAAAACTTTACATTAATTTATTTTTGCTAAAAGCGAATGTAATTAAATGATTTTTTTCTATTTAAAGATTAAAATTCCAGAATAAGATAAGATTGTAACTTAAAATGTAACTAAAAAACATTTATTATAAATAATTTTTTACAATATTTGATGCGTAATTAAAAAAAGTTCACTGAATTTGCTAATATCAATTAAGGTTAAGAATAATAATTTCCATTTAACGGAGCCAATTTTATGGTCTTAATATAAATTTATATAAAATTTTTTTTTAATGTAGAATTAAGTCTAGTACAATTAAACAAGAAAAAGCTTCTTTATAAAAAATAAATATATTTTTTCTTTAATTGTATGTTTTTAAAAAAAATAGTTTTATACATTAAAATAATACAACTCCAATCATAAAAATTTATTTTGTATTCTTGTTTTTATATTTCTTTTTTCAACATAGAATTTTCATTTCTATATCAATTAGAAGACTATAGAAAGAAATCAGAGCTTCCCAAACTTGTACAGATTGCGATCTGCTTTTTAATGTGACAAATATTCACATTTCATTTAATTTTAGTGAATATAAAGAAGCGGAGGAATAAATAAATAAATTATTTATTTATATCACTTTATTTATATTCTCTATATTGTTCCTATTTTTTAATTTTTTATTTTTTATCGAATACGATTTTATAATTCTATTTCTAAGATATAATTCTATTTCTATTTCTAAGATACATAATGAAATATGTATGAGAGATGTCCTTGTTTTCTATTTCTGTTGACAACAGCTTTAACATCGATTTCTACATCAATGTAACTTACTTTTTTAGACACAAGGAGTTTAATAATTGTAATTTATTTCAAAATTTGATTTTAATTTTTATCATTGTTGAAAATCCAACTTCATACAAAGTTGGAAAACACACGCGCGCACACAAGTATACAAAGTAACGAAATGTAACTAATATTCTTAAATTTTCTCCGATTTATCAAAAATCGGTTCGCGACCAATACTTTGGGGATCTCTGAAGACATTTCATTTTAATAAATATCAATAAAACATTTGTTTTAACAGTTGCATGCACAATCCAGACAAATAAAGATATCATATTTATGGATCAAAATGTACAGAGAAATAATACAACAGTTTCTACAACGGCGAGCTCAAGAACAGTATCAACAACAATATCAACTACATCACAGTCCATAACAACTTCAAAAAATTTTTCAACAGAAAAAACAACTACTTCGCAAACAGACCATGCACCGGTTTTTACAGGAAACACGAGTGTAACAACGACGAACGTAACGATTCCACTTCCAACTTCGAATTTTCCTTCGACTCCGATTCCGATTCCGCCTCCGACTCCAGTTCCAATTCCAACTTCGACTCCGATTTTGCCTCCGACTTCGACTCCGACTCCGAATTTGACATCTAAAACAACAAATACAACAGGTGGAATTACAGTTCCTTCAATGCAATCTACAACGATATCCATACGTTCTACAACAATGCCAATGCAATCTATAACGCAATGTGTATCAAACGTAACGAATCCATCATCCACGACAGTATCTTCGATTACAACAGAAAATCCGACAATAAACAAAACGACAATCGTAATCAATCCAAGTACGACTGAAGAAAACATATCAAAAATCACCACTCCTATATTTAATTATATCCTTAGAAATAACACAGGAGTGGCGTGCGTTCTGGCAAACATGACGATTCATATAAATTTGCGATATACAAGAAAAGATTTTCAGGTAAATAAGTAATAATATAATTTATAAAAATAAATATTACAGACTTTTTATACCTTTCAGAAATGTTCATTACAAAAATTTATATTTTTCTTTAATTCACTTCGTCAGCAATTGTGTCTAATCATTATTTTACTGCGTCACAGAATACATTTGCATTTTTTAGATACCAAAATCCATGATGGTTCCAACAGATGCAACGACGACAGGTACTTGCGTTGGAAAAACAGCCAATATGACTTTGAGTTGGGAAAAACCAGTTAAAGGCTACAATAATAAAAAGAATAAAATTACTTTTAATTACTCCCATGATAACAGCAAATTTTTTCTTGATTCCATTTTCGTTGACTTGCACGGTAATAATTTTTCATATATCGAATTGCATTTTATTCTGCAAAAATGTATATAGGAACATATCATATAATATTATACACTTGTTTACCACTTAATTATTGTTTTGATTTCTTTCATTTAGAAAAATTATGAAAGTATTTATCTCACATAAATAGAGGAACTTCTTCCTCGAAGAGGAAGTCGAGAAATACAGTTGAGAATGAAGTTAATAATGTTTAGTGATGTTTGAATGGTGCTAATAATGTTTCTTTGCTAATAATGTTTCTGCGAATTATTATTAAATATATTTTTCCAGTTCTTATATAGGCAACAAGATTTAATCTCGACTTTGACTCTATTTATTTGGCTCTACTTATTTATGTTATTCACATAAATAATCTAGTTTAACTTATTATTAAGTATTTTTCTCATTATTTTATTTGAATGCGTTTAAATAAAAAATATTTTCTCGATATTTGACAGAAAAAAGAATGACAGGAAATTCAACGGTCAGGCCTCGATCATTCTCTGCTGCGATAAATAATGAAATATTTATATGCGAAACAAGCACTACAATAAATGTCGAGAACAAGATAAATATTGATATTTCTAATGTCTATTTAATTGCCTTCAATGAGTGTCTCGATAATTGTAAAAAAACAGGTACAATAAGCTTTACTTATTTTTATTAATTGTATTAATTAAAAAATTGCTTTTATTAATTATTTTTCGTTAAATATCTTGAATGTTTCAGTGACTAATTGCACTGCTAAGACAGTTATTAAAACCATCGTAATCATTGGTATAATAATTGTTGGTCTCGTTCTCAATGTTGTATTCTATGTTTTATATTCACTATCTACAAAGAAAATCCAAGAATGATTCCAAGAACATTTTCAGGAGGTTTGTTAGGCATTAGTTTTTAGAGAAAATAATTTTAAAAACCACGAATAGCTCAGAATTTGGAAATTCCAATATCAGTAGCATTGTAACATGTATACATATCAAATTATATATCACATGGACATCTTACAAATAGAAAATATTAGAGAGAAACATCTATTTTATTTATAAATAAATTTCTATTAAATTTCTATTATCTTAATAACGTGCTGTTATCTGTGCATTTTATTTTTCTTTTCTTCCTTTTTTGTCACAGGAATAAGAATCCTAAGTCAAAATTCCTTTTTTGTATATTTTTACAATAGAAATCGTTTAATGTCCACATTGAGAGAAAAATGTTTAGTATTTGTGACTATAATTGCATAAAATTATTATGATTAGGAGCTCCATTTTTATAATTATTATTATTACATAATATTAATAATAATAATTATATTCATATACTTCAAATAAATATATAATACCAAACATATATATACAGGATGTTTTAAATTATACGCATCACCTGCTAATGGCAAAAATAAAAATATATTCCAATCACAAGAAACAATTACTAATTTACCATTCACTGAACACTTCAGTTTGAAAATCAAAACCTATATGTTGATGAGAATAAGTGAATAAGTAATATAAAATAATTGTAAAAGAATTATTAAATTAATTACTATTAGATACAAAAAGTACTTAACTTAATTAAGTCACAAATACTTGTAAATAGAAAAAAAGAAACAAAATTAAGTTATAGTTACTGAAAAATAATAACTCTAACTGTAACTTTGTTACAAATGATGAATTATTTCCTAATCTTAAGCACTATAATTATTTTACTATGCATTTATGGTCACATGGAAGAAAAACCAAATTTCTCTCAATGTATGGATTGAATTGATAATCGATTCATGGGAGATGTGCCAATAAAGATTGCGTATGGCGCGTATGGGAAACACAGCGTTCTTTAATTAGTTAGGCTTAACAAATAGTTTGGGGTTCAATCGCCCCTGTATACGTTACGGTTACGCCCACCCCGATTACCACGTTATTTGATAAACTGTAACATTTACAGCACCATCTGCGCAATCGTGTGAACGTTGATCAGCTGGTGGATTCTACGAAACATACATTCCTCATATAATATTGATTTCAATTCTAGTAATTCAATTCTTGAAGCGAAATCGATGCGATATTGTCTAAAATGTTGCGTTGTTCTTTAACATTTTACGAATTTACATAGTGAACATTCATCGTATTCACCTAAGAACGAGAATGTCATCTATGATGTATTCCCTCGACGACGCGTACCGGAAAAAGATCGTATTTCAAACCGATTCCAGCAGAAAAAATATCAAACACTACAGACACACCCTTCGTTTAACACCTGGATATCATATCACTCACAACAGATGCCACAGCGAAATTTACGATTATCCCTATTAATTGGTCAGCAGGAATGTCCACTATCACGAGAAATATACGGGAGGCATTCGTTTTCTATTACCGTGAGAACTACGAAAAATATTAAAAGTAAATCATCAAATTGGCACGATAATATGCACGATAATTGGCATGATAATATAGCTACTTAAAACTGATGTGATGAATATGATGACAAAAAGAATATTTATATTATTATAAAAGTAACAGAGTTAGAGAGAAAAGAAGAAAGATGATAGCATTATTTATACATATTATATTATAATAAAACATGGAATATATTTCTTGTCAAATTTTTCATATTTTTGCAGCTGATATTTTCTAACTTTTTTATTTGCTCCTATAAAATATTTCGAATTTGTTAGAAAAGATATCTAAGCATCTTAGATAGCGTCAGCTGTTCAGGCATCGCGTCCCTTTAAAATTTAAAGATCCTGTAAAGCCTATTATTCCTCGCTTCTCGTTTGAACTGAACCTCTGTAACGACACCGAGCAGAGGGTAAGCTGTGAAAAGTGTCGTGTCGTCTATTTCGCAAAGATTTATAAGGGAAAATATATAAGAAATCTCCGCGGGACTTTCAAAGGAAATAACTAGCATGCTTCTTTATTGCACTGACTGTACAAAATATTCAGCTAACGATAGATTGCTATAAAAATATAGTGTTTCACAAAACAAAACAATCTTGATGTAACTTAAAAGTAATAATTTTTTAATCTTTAATTATAATTATATATTATCAAAATTCAAATCAGTGCAATTAAAAGATGAATTAAAGAGATTCAACAGAGGGAGAAAAAACAGTTTTGCTAAAGTAAAAAAAAGTTTAACTTATGTAGATCTAAAAATCTTTTTTGTTAAACCTCTAAAATAATTTTATATTAAGTTAGTTGTTAAAAATATTATTTTTTGTAACATTACTCATCATGCTTCTACATAATTATTTCGATCCAGTACAATTATTTGCAGATGTATATATAATATCTAAAATTTTTAGATTTTTACTCCGTGCTTTCCGTGAAATTTTTATTTCGCCTCAGTATTTTTATATTATACGTGTAATTAATAACTTAATAATTATTATACATGCCACTAACTTTCAATTGACGCGAATATATATGATAAAGAGAACAATGCTGTCTGCTGCCGATCTCAATCTTTTTTCTTTCGTAGACATTCTAAAATCAATAAATCTCAAGGGTCTAAAGGACCAGGCACGCGTGCCAGAAGGATCAGCCACGCGCGTGACTTCTCTTCTTTCCGAGAAATAATTTGTGTTCAACCAATAGAGCGACTTGACCTGCTTCGCAATCAATTTTCCGAGAAACCTCAATGATTTTTATTAATACAGTAAGAAAACACGCACACTCGTCATCTTCAATACCTTACTCAGAAAAAATCCCAAAATTATTGTGTACAAAATTACCTATAATCTCTCTTTTTTATCTTGAAAATATAAGTAAAAAAGAAGAAACACGTTAAACAACTCGTCCTGCATTGTAATAAAAACATTTTTTTAGCGATCTATAAATAAAATATTGTTTTTGATAAACGGAGAAGGCACTGAGAATTACTTCTGTTACGATGTATATATATATATATATA